TATCAATCAATTCAATTTATCGGTTATTTTATCATTCAAGAGATATTGTTCCAGACGTTACTCCTATGCCGCATGATATTTTCACATGTTTTAAAAACATTATGCTCAAATGCAAGTCATTTGAACTATCACTTTAAGTATCACTACCTTAAAGTAAAGTGCTTTTCAAATATATTTTCCAGTGGTTGTAAGGATGACATTGTATTAAAATACCTATTCTGTTCWTTTCCAGACAATAAGATTTATGTGGATAAAGGAAGCTCTACTGTTGGAAAATATCGTGGCAAAAAGCTGACTCCAGTAATTCCCCTCACAATAGAAATCCCTAAAAGTGTCAGTGGTGACCAACTGTCCATTCAGTCAGACTCTGATTCAGAATGCTTGAGRAGTAATTGTAAGTCCTAATCTAATTTGTTACTCACAGTAAACTGGAATAATACATTGTTTCATGGTAGTTGAAGGAATCCTCTGATGCTCATTCCTTGGTTTAAAAAAAATGCCACTAGGCACAGATTTTGAAAACAGATTTTGAAAAATGATAAAACCTAGTGTAGTGTTGATTATTAAGCAGAATGTCCTTTGTTTTTGAAAAGATGCTGAATGTTGAATTTGGGTTACCTGTGTCTAAGTGGTATTACTTGTYAAGTAACAATGCGCTTAAGAACTAGGGAACTCTCTATTGTTCTGCGGCATTGCAACTTTCCCAYGTACAAATGTCTTGGTTTTCACACTGATTGGAAATATTGTCCAAGAGTGCTAACATTATTGCMTGAGCTAACCCTGGTGGTACAGGGAAATAGTTGTCTCTTGGTCAATTTTCTAAGCTTGATCTATTTACCTCTCTCTCAATCAATAAATAGAGGATACATGTATGACATGGGTGTGTTTTATTTCCTTAGATTCTTATGGTTCAAGTTCTCCCAAAACACCAACAAGGCATGTCATGGGTCATGCAATCAAACACATGTAAGACTTGGTTGAACATTTTCAATTGTTAGTTTATGTACTTAGATAAGTATTTTTATGTTTTACTATTATAAGTTTTTATTTGTGCTAGTTGTTCTTTGCATCAGGTATTATTGTCTATTTACAAGTCATGTTTTTTGTTTATTAATTGTTTGTGTAGAAAGGTTTGTGTTACCATAGTTCTATACACTCTATTATTGATTCTTACAATAATGCTATATGCTGCATAATGGGGATATCGGACTGTGAGGTGTAACAGCTTTGACTTCTTCCTGGGCACTTCTGACAGCCATTACAGCTGACCTCCTGGTCCCATTCAGACATTGTGCTACTGTACATGCTAAAGTAATAATAACAGCAGTTGACTAGGAAGACTTGATGACAGTCTGCTACTAGTAGAAAATATCAATCAGAATTATAAGCATGTGAAAATAGAGTTTAGAGTACAAGGATTAAGAAGATGATAATGGGTATTTTTTGTATTTTTTTTTATAGATTTTCACAGAAGAAGTTTATGGTTAGCAGGTCATGTGATTATTGTCACAAGATATTATTGAGTGGAGTAAAATGTAAAGCATGCAAGTAAGTCAAGTACACRAAATTACTTTTTCYATTTCCTGYAGTTTGTTACCTTATCAAATGCAATAAATTYGTTCTTTCTACTAGATACAAATGCCATAAGAGATGTGCCAAGCAAGCACCGCCATCTTGTGGCTTACCTAAAGACTTTGAGGAATTTTTCAAGCAGACATTCAAGAGAGGTAATTATTAGTCACTGTTGACTTAGACATGCCTTTCATTTAAAATGACTCACTAAATCGAGTGCAAATAATTTTAGTTTCATTGAAAATATTTCTTTTATTTTTGATCCAAAATCGAATTCACATCTTTCTGTACATGTTCCTTGCCAAAGTGGTTGCTCTATCTTCAAAAAGTTTGTTTGTACTTACAATTTTCATTTATTTTTAATCTTTCCATTCAGGATATGAGTAYCGATCMTTGCCAATCATCAGATCACAAGTCAAGAGAACCAACTCCGAGCCATCTAACATTGCAAATCAAGTTGGTGATATGATAAGAGAAAAAAAGTCCAGAATCCAAAATCGAAGYGTTGGTGACTTRTGCATTAACACCATAGACAATAGCAAGCCTAGCAGATATAACTATCACCAGAATCATGACGGAGTGAGTATGGATTCAGGATCAACATCATCTGCGTCATCTCCACCGTCGTCACCAGTTTTGTCATCTGGAGGGAAGGGRGATTATACTCCTAGTCCACCCTCTCCCTCTGAAGAGCGKGATGGTTTTCCCAACCCAGTTGGCTTTTATTTTCCTAATAGATGTAAGTAATTTTTATTTTTTGTTGAAATTCTGTATAGTTGAACAACTATTGCAACCCTTAGGCATCTATAATGTCTTCATGATACAGATAATTTGTGTTGTGTTCTTGTTTTCATTATTTTTCATTTTTTATTATTTTCTTTATTCACAGTTTATTAACTTGTTCTTTACCTTTTTAGATGGATCTAATGCAACATCTGTGATGTCAAAGTAAGAGACAGCCTTCTTAAAATTGTTTAATTTATTGATTTTACTCATCATCAACTTTCTTAATAATTCATAAAGTACAAACACAATGGAAACTCAAAAATCAGTAAATCAAATCCTGAATTGCATAATTTTTTTTTTGATTTCCTATGAAAATAATATTTCATCTCAATTCAAGTTTTTAGCAAACTATTTTTCAGCTTGTGAGTGTTGGAATCTGATAAAGCAATAAACAAAATCTGTAGGCAATAAATTAGCTCTAAAACCGCTCCTTGTTTTATATCTTGATGGAGATTGCTTTTCATTTGTACTTTAAATTACTTAATCCCATATGCTATCTGATATTACATATATGAAGAAAATCTTTTGTTGACTTTCTTACATTTTTGATTACAGCTCCAGTAACGACTTAATAGACTCTACAGGAACACTAACTAGAACTGAAAGTACAAAATCAAGACAGAGCAGCAATACCACCAATAGCAATGAATCTGTAAGTAGAYGTTGTAATATTTATATTTAGTTGACTTCAGATATTTTGGTTGAKTAACCRTGTACAAAAGAATTGCAGACAAGGCTCCAGGGAAACAATGTATTTWCTTACTGTATTATTTTAATTCACTGGAGTCTTGTCTACAATTCTTTTGTGCATTGTCWCTGAACTAAAATATCTAAAGTCAGATATTAATTCATTAAGTTTAAYGTGTTTCATATCTAATTTAATTGATAAATCTAATTTTAATTCAATATTATTGTATTTTTTAAAATTTTGTATTTAATTGTACAATATTGTATAATCATGTTGAGTATATTATTGGCTAATACATTATGGTATTCTAATGTTAACAGCATGGAATTTRATATGTATTGAATTAACTCTTTTCAATAGCTACATTTAGAATGAATATAACCATAGCAGTAAAAAATAGAGTTATTGCATTTTTAAATGCAATAACTCTAAAAAAAAAAAGCCATGAAGTTCTTTATCAAATTGATACTATGCTYAAAACAAGGGAAAACAGCCAAAATAAAGGCTGCTACTAGTTGTATACTAATTCTTTCATAATGACTCTATAATAACAAATTTATAGCAATAATAGAATGCAACATTTTCTTGCATGGTCTTAACAAAATAAGTTGTCTTGATTGACAAAAAGCAAATTAAATACCTTTTTCTATAGTTACATTATAATGTTTATCAAACACTTTAATGGTAGAGAAGTGATATTGAATATTGAATTCCCTTTATGAGTTTTTTTCTTAAAAGTTACTCATTTCTTTGCTTAGAATTGTGATTTCAGYTTACATTTCAATAATGCATATCTTAGGCCTTGTTTACATGATATGGTGCCTCTGGGTGGTAGAGTYGAACTCTTTTGTTTTAAATTGTYCAGGGAAAAGAAGATAAAAGAGTTTAATGACTCTATTAGTGACCCATGGGCAGCCTATCTCATKTAAACAAGGTCTCAAGATAATAATGTTTTGTCCTTAGTGTTAAAATGCATGTTATATAACTTKCATTWTGGTGCTGRTAAACGTTAGCATTCAACACAGCTTTGAAGTAATTTTACAACAATTCAATTTTAATTGATTTTATTGAAAATCACACTAACTAGAACTATCAAAGGGGACACCCAAAGTAGATGTTGTTAAGTTTGTGATTTGTGTATCTGAATAAGCAAATAGCAATAACTCCTGGACTAACAAGGAGTGTATTGTACAGACTATTTCAGGGGGTGATGTACCGGGGGTAGATGATCTTGACATACAAATATCAGATGTTGATCCTGAAAGCAGAACTTGGGGAAGAAGGGTGGTAAGTTAGATAGGACGAATATGCTGTAGTTTAGAATAAATATTTGTTGTACTTTTCATGCTATTTCTCTGAATGTCTGAGAAAAGTTTAGCTTAATTCATGTTATGATTTGTAATAATACTCTATTCAATATGAACATTTCTCTTAAAGCATGTATAAACATYCTAAGAAAGTGTTAAATTACTGGACAACATATATAAATTATTTATAAGCCTACAATGTAGAGGAGAGAGGGATCATGTGACCTCCATATATGGCTAAACATGTACAAGGTGCTGATGTTCACATAGAAGTCTCTCATGTACACAATATGTGAAGAACGTTTTTAAGAATTTTTTTAAATGCACTATGCATTGCCTAACTTAACAATGAAGCAATGAGATGGGCTGGCTTGAGTGGAACTGAATTTTTGTAATATTTTTACAACAGCATTCATGAATAGCCATGTGTAGGTAGTAYGTAAGATAACTTTCTATAGGGACTGATGAAAGCCTTCTATGTGAGAATCAGAGCCATAGACCATTTTTGAAATACAAAGTCATGATGCATTGAAACAAAAAAATCAAATCTAGACCACAATGCAGTGAGTGCCCTTTGCTATTTCATAAAAGGCCTATGGACATCCATAAATGGAAGTCATACATCAGACTCTACTTGATAATAGAGGAAGGTCACCCTGTCTGCCATGTAACATTAGAATACCATAAACAGCCAWAATAATATACTACTTAACTAATTTAATTCTTCTATTACTACCTTAAGATATTATAAAATATTATATAAAATATAAATGATRTTTCCTTATGTTGCCACCATCTATGAAGGATTTATCCACAAGAGCATTTGGGAAAGCCTACATGTTAATGGACCTACATGTAAGTCAAATTAAATATAAAATCTTAATTTCTTTTTATAAAATATTAATTTTTTAAAAAGTAATTGCTAAAACTTTAGTGATGAAGCCTTTCCTGAACCGCCTCCTGCATTAACTTGTGTCCCCTTTAGAAGAAAACGAATATCCTTCCTGCTCCAGTGGAGATTTCTGCACGCTGTCTGTCTTTATAGTGCTAAATGTCTAAGAATAAAATCAAAATTTTCAATAAATCTTTAGCATAACTGGGCGTTGTTCATAAAATAAATCTAAACCAATGGATTTTGTGTTMAATGTTTGATATTTTAAGGTGTTTGGTGCAATCTTGATCAGACCATGAAACGATAACCAATTAAAAATGAACTGAAATGAAAGGAGTAGCCCGTGAACATCAGAAACATGTCTGGAATGTTGTAATTTTTTTCTCTAATTGTGGTGAACATGATGCAAATAAAGATTTGAGCACGAGAATCATTATAAATACCGTTCCATGTAAAGTTTATAATTCTTTATACAGGATTGTAAATCGGATTATAGTCAAACTACATATGTAGAATTGATATATACTTGTATGTATTGTATAGACACGCGGTAGTCTGATGTCAGAATGGGTGATACCCTTCGATGAGTTAGAGATCTACGAGATGCTCGGGTATGGAAGGTTTGGTAAGGTGCATCGTGGGAAATGGCATGGTGAAGTGGCTATCAAGATGATTGAGATTGACAATCCRACAGAGGAGCAGCTTAATGCGTTTAAATTTCAGGTAAAAGCCTTAAAACTACATTATAACTACATATTTTTTACTTTTGTGTTGCAAATACTTTTTTCTAATTAAAGGGACACTGTCAATGGCACGCATGCGCTAGTAAACTTGAAAAGATTAGGCTAATGTTTTYAAGTTTACGACTCCAAGTTGGCGCGACGCATGCCAAAAAAAGTACTCGTAAACGTAAACAGATCTAGAATATTCCAAAGTGTGTCAAAACATTGATTTACCTCCAAGGTAATACTTTCAAAGTCCGTTAGAGGCAAGACGGTTACTGCGCATGTCATCCATTGACAGTGTCCCTTTAAATTACGTGAACTTTGAAGCTCAGACACAGGAATGGTGAGCCGCAGATCTGGGATGTTGGATTCAAATGAACGATAGATCAATTTTATGCTAATAGAGCACTAATCTTGCTCTCAACACCCCGAACACAGTTGCCTTTAGCTCTCAAATTTAAATTAAATTTTATTACTGATTTTTCAGGTGACAACTTTTCGGAAGACTCGCCATGATAACACTGTACTGTTTATGGGTGCATGTATGGACCCACCCAAACTTGCAATTGTTACAAGGTAAAAATAACAAAATATACTTATTAAACATAAGTAACAGCCCTTGTTTACAGTCTTCCATTTCCTGACAAAGCTTGTTATCCCCGCAACGGAAACCGAAAACTTCATCAATTCATTTAGTTAAAAAATCATTTGCTATTTTAGTCTTTGCAGAGGTCACTCTCTTTACACCCACGTTCACATYAAGAAAGACAATTTTCCCCTCGCAAAAATCGCTCAGATCACGACGCAAATCGCCCAGGTGAGAATACATTAGAATAATTTACCAATTCTYGGAGTGTGCGTGCTTTACTTTAACTCCTAATCGACTGTACAATGAATGTAATCTCCTTGAAAACCTTTAAARAGCTCTCAAACTTTCATTAYATTCGGGCTAAGCGTTTGCAATTATATACAGATAACATTGTGAAAACAAGTGAATCAAAAAAAATTAGAATCAAAGTGCTTCGTTCGATAGATGTGATTGAGTAGATGAACGAATGAGTGGATAAATTAATGAACAACTTGACAGGCAGTTGTCTAACAGTAAAGTAACTAATTGTATGATGTTGTGTATTTTCCAGGGTATGGGATATTTAAATGCTAGAGGTATCGTTCATACGGATCTGCGGTCTAAAAACGTTTTCCTGGAGCTCAACAGTAAAGTTGTTATAACTGACTTCGGTCTTTACAGTGTTGCAGGCCTCACTGTCAAGTCTGTCAGGTAAGAAATACACTGATAATGAAAAAATACAAAGAAAAGGACTATCCTCTGGAACCTAAGGGATTTTTAGTGGGTTGCGGGGGAGCGAGGCTCAGCTGGATCCACTCAACAATCTATATAGTAATAATAATAATAATAATCTCCTTGTAACTTACTGTAAATTGATCACGTAATAGGCATTAACTTTCATTGCTCAGTCCGCGATATGCAGAGGCGTTTGACGAGCTGTTTGCAATAATTATGAAAGTTCAATTACATTTCTTTCAAACCTCTACATTACGGGCAACGAAGAGGAAAAGGACTGTTTGGTGTCCGCAGTATAGGGGTGCCAGTTATATAGAGGATGTACAGTCAACTCTCGCTATTACGGACACCCTCGGGACCGTAATTTAATGTCCACAGTAGCGCGAGTCTGTAGTAACGAGAGTTACTTTCAGTCATTTCTTTGTATTCAAATTCAGTATTTTACTGCCCGTAATATCAAGGTGTCCGTTGTAGCGGGGTGTCCGTAAAGCGAGAATTGACTGTATGGGAGTCTGCGATAGGAGCTGTACTGACTGMTGCTTTTTGTTTCGTCAGTTTTTTACCAGAACTGATGTCTTAATGATATTTTAACAATGAATATGATTGATTGATAGGCCAAACTATTTAATGATTCCACGAGGATGGCTATATTATCTAGCACCAGAAATTATGCGCAGTTTAACCACTACTCAAGATGCTCCTGAATCTAATACTTTTACAACCAAGTCTGATGTCTTTGCTTTTGGGTAAGTGTGAGATTCCTTTAAAACACTGTATTTGTGGTAAGCGGGGAAGGACACGTGCATAATGTAAGGATGTATTTTGCTTCTTTTGTCTATTTAACTTCGTCACAAACCAGTGTCATTATTTGCGCGTTTTCCACCCACTTACTTTGCTAATGAAAAGCCAGTAGAGTCACAGAAAAACGCTCAAAACAAAAAGAGATAACCCAGCTTATGTAGGAGCCTCGGCGTTCGTTGCTAAGGTTTTCATCTCGTCACTAACACCGTTGTTGTGTTGACTATTTCAGGACTGTTTGGTATGAAATGTGCGCAGGCGCTTGGCCATGGAAGAAACAACATCCCGAAACCATCATCTATCAAGTCGGCCAGGGATGTAAACAACCACTCAACAAGCTTGACTTACCTACAGAAGTTAAAGTAAGTACTAACATTGAAAATGGACTTCTTTCACTATGACGTCACATCAATAACATTCTCGCATGTCCATGCCTCCTCCTCCCATGCCTCCGCCCATACCACCACCCATGCCTCCACCCATTCCACCACCACCCCATCAAAATATTCTCTTGTGTTGACGCTAGGGGGGGGGGGGGGGGGGGGGGGGGGGCACAAATGCGGCATTCATGAGGATAACAAAGAAAATAACTATTTATTTTGTTGTTGTTTTTTTCTTTTAGGAAGCGATAATACTCTGTTGGGCATTCCAACCCAATTCAAGACCATCATTTAGTGCACTTTTAAAACTAATCGATCGTTTACCCAGAAAGCACCGTCTACATCGAAGTCCTTCTCAGCCTTGTACTGTCATACGGCCATCAGAGGCGTTAATGTAGTGGGAAATGAATGAGTGTCCTACCTGGAAACAATCACTAATACGGTAGATTGTAAACTACCTTTTCAAGGTTAAAGCAATTTMAAAATTGACACAAATTTGAATGTTTCGCCCGCAATGAATTATGGGTGTCGCAGAGTAAATGCTGAACCGGTCTTCAGGTCAGATTGTGATATCCAAAAAATAATAGATTAGGTTAGAGTGCATGCATTGAAAAATCAAGTAGACTGCTTGCTTGTATTTTCTGTGACCTATCAAATAGGTCTCTTGTAACCAWAAACTCATTTTGAGTTTCAAATACAACRCGGCTTTCTTGTCCATATCTTTATGGTACGTATGCAATGGCCAGCGTGCAAATCTTTAATTATTTAAAACTAGAGTATAACATAGCAATGATTCTCTGCTTACTCAACATTTTTTATARTTGTTGTGCTATCTTGTAGATAAAWACTATRGTTTTTCATTCAAGAATGACTTCTAATTTATTGGTCTCGCTAARTGTACGATTTTGTAATTTCAATTGAATGTTAGCGAATAATTGAACGAAATAGTTAGAAAATCTTTAAGATTGTGGCCGGCGTAAGTGTTTCAACCTCGTGTCTTTYAGCATAATGCTTCTTTTTCTTGCGAAGGTAAWTTTTATTGTTTTCTATTGAAAATGCAAAATGTGTCCATTCTAAAATGGTTTCTTATATTTTTGACAGTTTTATTTTACAAATGTTGCACACACATATTTTTTATTTTATTGTACATTTAGTGACCATTTCGCATGTAAGTGGTTTAGGACTAAAAATTGTTTTGGAATTTTTTTAGTCAGTTTTCCGAAGTATTATAAGTAATTATCAAGATGTTTTCCTCGAAGAGTGATCAGCTAAACATTTTTTTTCATCAACTGTGCTGTTATTTTTTATTGAAACATTTCGCGTAAAGCTGTTAGGAAACTATTTAAGACAGCTAATTCAATGTATTATAGTACTGTAAATTATCTTTATAAGTTGTATTGCCTTGAGATTAGGGTGGTTTTCATTAACCTGTAGAACAAACCGAAARGCCAAAGAAGTTTTTTTCAGTTCGGTGTTTCAGTAAAACCCTGCGCCGTATAAGAGCCTAAAATTTAAGAATTTGCCAGTCTGAAATTTCCATTTTCAACGTGGTCKCACTTCACATAAGAACCATTTCAGCCTAAAATTTCAAAGTAGCCTAATTTCCAAATATAAAGTTTGATATAAATAGTTACAATCTAACAGTTTCCTGATTTAGAATCTATAGTCTGAGCCTAACATGTTCAGGCTGTCTTGAAAAAATCTTGGTTCTTGTACGCGGGTTTTTACTGTATTACACGTCTTTTCATACAATTTGGCACACGGGTTTTTGGAAGTTTGTTTATTTCCATGAAAGCCACTAATAATGCTGTATGTAGCTTTTCTTTGCGATTTATGTTGTAAATACTGTAGGAATGAATTCAAAGAAGCTTTTCTCTAACGACGAGAGCACTGCACAATTTATGCGAATTATACAAAAGAATGACTCATTGTTAATTTTTAAACAAGACAAAAATAATAATGAATAAAAACAAGTAACATGGCAGAACTGTATCGTTTGTTGTCAATAATTTGGACCTGTTACACTGTGCCATTTTCTCAGCAATTTAGACACAAAATTGGAGAGGGGTGGTCGAGGGCAACTTTTTTGCTGCGTGTAGCGTTGCACCAAGTTAAAAGGAGGGCTATCTTTCGCAAGGYATTGCATGCAGCAACTTGCAACGCCATTGGACAGTGCATCACCCCTCCAGCAACTTTTTCCCACGGTCTTGCGCTTTGAGACTTACTTTAGCCTAAAAATATTGCAAGAAAGAAGGGAGCTCAAAATCCTTTTCCCAGGAAAAAATTCGTACAAGAACAGTTCAGTTGAAAGRACAGACGCCGTAGGCTCCTGAGTTGCATGGGATTCTTTTACAGAATATAATTGCTAAAATTTTCTGCTCAACTGGTGCCGTAAGGGCGTTGCAAGACAAGTTGCTGATAAAATTAACGGCGTTGCTTCTKACTTTAAAAGAAAGTGCGCAAAAGGCAATGAAAAGGTAGATACAGYCGAGAGATCTGACAAATAAGGCATACTCAACGGTTGACAAACGCCGAAATCTCTGAACGACTGAATAAAACCTTGATATTCTTATCTGTCCGAATAATTCCAGTTTTTGTAAGACCGTATTCTGAAGCAAGAGTACACGATACACGAAACGTCGCTCTGTCACGGAAGACACGGGAGAGATGTTTTGAGGGTCTCAATTGGGTTAACCGTGAGCCGAGAAACGGCTGAAAAATTAGCCGTGGTCGTGAAAATTTCGGCCCCTCGGTCCGTTCAGGAATTGTTTTCCCTAAATCTTTCACTCTTCCACCCCCTCAAAATTCTAATGGATCGCACCTACCAACAAGGCAGTAATTGCAAGGTCCTGCAGACAAGTCAGGGCACGGACAAAATTTGACATGTGAGAGTGATGATAAAATGTTATAATAACTACTGTGTCTATAACGTACAAGGGGAAACTGTGCTACCACACTCACTATCTCTAGCACAAAACAAATTATGAAAAAGTAATGAGAAACGTATTTCGAAAATTTCTGAAAGTTATCTAGTTAACTGTGATTCGAGGCGTGAGTCGTGAAATCGCCAAATTTTTAGTGGTAATGCGTACCACCCCGTTGAGACCCTCCTAAATGAGCGGTACAAACGTACAGACAAAATCTCCAAAACAAAACTACCACTCATTTAGTATCTTCGTACATCGAAGACTTTGAGTGGGAGCCGATCATACAGCCACTTCGTAAAAAAAAGTCGGTTCTCAGGAAAGTGCCAAACACAAGAGATGACAATAATTATGCAAAAAATAAATAAATAAAAAAAAGAAGATAAACAATAAATAAAATAGAAATGAAAATACACAATCAGTAAACGTCTCGTCCCGGGAATCGATCCCGCTACCGTCAAACCTACATTGGATTTGCAAGCAGCGCCTTAACGCGGTGCGCCACTGGTCCACGCTCATTTACATAATAATAGACCACTTGGCACTTTCACCGAATAGACTACCCCAATTTGACATTATACTTTCGATAGTTGCCTAGTTAGTGCAAGGGGTTATCCATCAGTGTCTAGGGGCCGGATAGCTTCTCCCTCACTGGCTTTTTAGTTAGCGCGAAGTTAGGACCAATTATCGGGATAGCATGGAAGAGCCGAAATCTCTAACCGGAATGTAAATCGATTCGCCGCCTCAGCTTCACAGAATGTCTCGGGGGAATCGTCCCAACCTTTTTTCGATTTTATGGTCATGGGTTCGAATCCCAATACTCAAGTTTTTTTCTTTTTTCATATTTCTTTTTTTTTTTTT